CTACTACTACTACTACTACTACTACTACTACTACTACTACTACTACTATCACGACTACTACTACTACTACTACTACTACTACTACTCTACTACTACTACTACTACTGCTACTACTACTACTACTACTATTACGACTACTACTACTACTACGACTTTACGACTACTACGACTACGATTGCGATTCCTACTGTTACCACCACTACTACTACTACTACTATTACTACTACTACTACCACCACTACTACTACTACTACTACTACTACTACTACTATTACTACTACTACTACAACTACTACTACTACTACTACTACTACTACTACTACTACTACTACTACTATCACTACTACTACTACTACTACGACTACTACTACTATTCCTACTACTACTACTACTACTACTACTACTACTACTACCAGGAAGACCCATTTGCACATTTTAGAATCGATGTTTACGCTTCGGTGCCCTCTTGCTCATCTTAAAGTAGTGCTCGTGCGCAGACCAAAACTGAAACCAATTCCAACTCGAGCACGCATGTTGGCTTTCAGATCCTTTGCGTTGACATAAGGAGTGTCACTGGGTCTTCGTTCGCACTCGTCTTGGGCTTCTCCACAATTAAAACCCTATTGTGGGGCTATCCCAAGATGGTTGGGATTGGGCCCAGTTTGCTTTTCGCGCGGGTTGGGATTGGTCCCAGTTGGTTGGGATTGGGCCCAGTGGGTTGGGATTGGGCCCACATGCGGGGGGCTGCCCCCCCCCCCCCCCCCCTCAGCAGACTGGTCCAGCCGGCGGCTGGCTGAACAGGCTGCTGAGGGTGTTTCCAACCCCCCCTACGGATCGTTAGGGCGGGTTTTCGCCCCCCCCCCCCCCTCCCCCTCAGAAGCCTGATCCAGCCAGCAGAAGCCCGACCTCCGCCCTGGAAGAAAGTTTGCACCGGTCAACAGAATGTAGTGGTGTACTGCGCAGTGCTTACACCGTTCCCAAAATGGTGTGATGGTGTAGTGGCGCACCGCTTGATCCAGTCCCCCACATTGTGCAATGGTGTAATTATGTAAACCGCGCGCTCTCTTCAAAATGATGTAATGGTGTCGTGGTGTAGTGGTGTAGAGATTAAACCATTTTCAAAACGTTTTAATGGTGTAGTACTGTCAGCCGCTGACCTTATTCCGGCCTTGCGTTTTGGTGTAATGCACCCTTTGCCAATATGGCGCAATGGAATAGCGGTTTCATAGTCGACCAACAGATCCATGTTACCTCCCCATAGAGGATCGAGGCGCACCAAAGGGGGGGCGGCGAGAGCAACGGCATTGTCCAAGCGCTGCGCCACCCAGTGTTTACAGCATGACGCGTCGGCTTTGCAATTGATGTTTGTTTGTGTAACCGCCCTTCCCCATTCTGCATTGGCTACACTCTGGAACCGCAAACCGAATTCGGCAGTGCAACCTTACGTCGATCGACTGGGAACAATGCCACCATGCATGCGCGCGAAGACTACCACGTCGTTTCTCGAGGGCTTCGACGCGCTGGGGGAGGAGGACGACGACGACGAGGAACTATACACAACATGCGCGTGCTCGCACACGCATCCATCTCAACTGCCGCGGCAGTTGCGTGCCTCACCTTCAATCGCGCCTTGCTGTTTGTTTTGCTCGCGCCTCTGGCTGATCGCCCAAATCGCGCCAATGCCCGAACACGCAGCCAGCGCCGCATTGCGCATCGTACCGTGCTCGATGCGCGCGTGCAAGACTGCGAGCAACTTCTCGACCAGACCCCTCAATTTGCCCAGGTTGAAGGATCCTCCACTTCGCCCCCTCTTCTTTTCCTCATCCTCTCACTGGTCCTCCTCTTCGTCCCCTTTCTTTTTATTCCGATGATCCCCCTCCTCGTCCGCCCCCCTTCTTTTCCTCGTCCTCTCACTGGCGGATGCGCGAAGGGAGGGCGCATTGCGTTTTCTGTCGCGCGCGCCACTCGCGCGCGATCTGACGCCGAGGCGGCAACTGCATCTACGGCAAAATGCCGATGCAGCGGGTTGACAGACTAGAGGTTTCTCTAGGCCTGGGCCCATTTGCGCAATCCCGCGCGGAAGCAATCCTTCGGCGCCATCTGCACTGCGCCGCTAATGCACGCAACCCCGCGCCGACGCAGCGCGTCAAGCACGCTCGCTAGACCGGCCCGCCTCAGCAAGGCAGCGCCAGACAGGGTCTGCGCAGCCTTCTTGAGCTCGGCGGTGTTGCGGCGGCCGACATTGCCGACTCGGCGCAGAGCGTTCTCGATGTGCCCCTGCGTCGATTCGGCGCCGTTGTCCCCCGCCGCCAGCTTGAAGTACAGCTTCGTCTCCTGGACAGCTGGGGTTTTGCCGCGGCAATGGCCGCGCAACATGGCAGCCGTCTTCCGCGCCAGCTTGCTTTTCAGCAGCCTCGTGACGGGCGCGAACGCCTTCTTCTGGCGGTTCACTCCGGACAGAGAAGCCGCGCCGATCTCCTCGGCCGCGGAGTGGAAGGCGCGCGCGCCGCCCGGGGCTAACGCGGCGCCAGGGCCCATGGCGCCTACCAGAGGGCCGCGGGCCTCCTCGAGGGACTCAGGGCTGCCAGAGCCGCGCTTCGCCGAGGAGCGCCTCGCTTTCAAAGCCTTAGCCGCCCACTTCTTGGAGGGCCTGCCCTTGTGCGCGAGCGCGCGCCCCTCGTCCGCGCTGTCGCCAGGTGGCCCCTCGCTCTTTTCCTGGTCGGCGTTTGGCGGCGCCTCGCTGTCCTCGCCCTCGTCGTCGTCGGGTGGCGCGTCGCTCTCCTTGTCCTGGTCGGCTTCTGTGGTCGAGGTGCTGCTCTCGTCCTCGGTGCCGTTCGCCTCGCTGCTCTGCTCGTCGTTGCCCTGCGGCGCCTCGTTGCCTCGTGGGGGCGCCGGGGGCGCCGGCAGCGCTGGCAGCGGCGGCGGCGGCGGCGGCGGCGGCGGCGCGAGCGGCGCCGGAAGCGCCGGCTGGCGCACGCGCTTGGGGCGCGAAAGAGCGTCGAAGAGGCGGTGCCACGCTGGGTCTGACCAGTCGCCGCGCTGCCCCGTGGGCATGTATAACATCTTCTGAACGTTGCCAATGATTCCGTGCAACTCCTTGTTCAGCAGTGGAAGACGAGAAGGGTGCACGACGACACCTTCCGAGGCCAGCCTGGCGCGAACTGCGTCCGCAGTGGGAGGCTGGAGAGGCTGCTGGCGTTGACCGCCCATTGCGTCATCGATCTGTAGCTCCAGCCTCGCGCGCCCGCCGGCGACCTGAGCCCATCCTTGACGAATTGAGTACATCGGTTCGGAGTTAGCGACCGGCGTACACGTTTAGCTCTTGAGCCAATGTGTTTACGGAAGGCAACTACATGTTGAAGATATCCTTAAACCTGCTCCTCATCATCTTCCTTTTCATTTTCACCGCCTCCTCCCCGTCCTCCTCCCTTTTCCCTTATCCTCCTCCCTCCTCCTCCTCCTCCCTCCTCCTCCTCACTCGTCCTCCCCCCTCCTTCCTCCTCTTCCCTCCTCCTCCTCACTCCTCCTCCTCCCTCCTCCTCCTCCGTCCTCCCCCTCGTTCCTTATCCTCCCTCCTCCCTCCTCCTCTCTCCCTCCTCCTCTCTCCCTGTTTGAAGATTGAAGGTCGAAGATCTGAGCAGACTTATTGCCCGCATGTTCAAACAGGGTCTGTGTACCCCTGATTCAAGACCCCCCTAGTAGTTTTAAAACGTTTTGAAACTGGCCTCCGACAGCCCGGCTTGAAGATTGAAGATTGAAGAACGCAGCAGACTTATGGTACGAATTCTTCAAACAGGCCAACGACAACGTGCAAATCGAGTGCCTCTTCCTCCTTACTCCTCCTCCTCCCTCCTCCTCCTCCGTCCTCCTCCTCGCTCCTTCTCCTCCCTCCTTCCTCCTCCTCTCTCCCTCCCTCTCTCTCCCTCACGCTGCCTGTTTGAAGATTGAAGGTCGAAGATCTGAGCAGACTTATTGCCCGCATGTTCAAACAGGGTCCGTGTACCCCTGATTGAAGACCCCCCCAAGTAGTGTTAAAACGTTTAAAAACTGGCCTCCGGCAGCCCGGTTTGAAGATTGAAGATTGAAGGGCGCAACAGAATTATGACATGGATTCTTCAAATTGACCAACGACAACGTGCAAATGTAGTGTTTGAAGACCTGCAGACATAAGTGCCCAGAAATCTTCAATCTTCAATATTCGAACAGAGCCACCCAAGACGTCTACCCTACACACACGCGCTTGAAGAATCACAAACATAAGCGCCCAGGAATCTTCAATCTTCAATCTTCAAACAGAGTTGCCACAGGCAGGTTTCAAAACGTTTTAAAACAGCTGGGTTGTCCTCCTCCTCCTCCTTCTCCTTGGGGGACGCAGCGTGGGTCTGGGCAAACCCTCAACATTAGTCTGGGCAAATAGATGGGTCCGTGGGCAAAGTTACCATATACTTCTGCGGGCCTGTCCGAGCCCCCACCAGAGTCGAACACCATACGATGTCCGTCGGGCGCTCCCATGTCACAATCTAAGACGGCACCCAAGACGGACAAAACATACGCAATATAAAAACGGGTACAATGACCGTAACCCCCTCTTCCAGAAACGAGGAGGGTGAGAGAGGGGGGAGGAGTCAGCATATCACGCTTACGGCAGGTTCGAGTCGCGATGACCCTTGCGTTGGCTTCTGGCACCGCGTGGATCGTTCAGCCTTGAGCCATCGCGGCTTTCCGATCTCGCAGGATCGCTCGACGACGGCAAGTCTAAACGGCTGGCGGCGTTCAACCTTGGCCGCCCGCGCTGGAATAGCCGGCACGCCGACACGACCTGACTCTACCGTGACAGACTGAAGCTCGGGGGGGGGGCGGGAGAGGGAGAGGGGGCAGCAAGGAGGAAGGGAAGGTAGGAACGAACAGACGAACAGACATATTCCTGGACGCAACTGCAACTCTACGTATTCGACCAACTCCTGATGCTAGAGCGCACTCCCCGCCCACGTGGGACGCGCCTTCACCAACTGGGTGGACCACAAGAGGAGCCCACCCTGCGGAGCGGCACTGGGTCAGAAGCTTGCAAGGGGGGCAACACCAACACGATACTCTCCGAACCCTGATTGGTGGGGGAGGCAGCGTGCATGTGTATATCTCCCTGGCGTGCTGAGGGCTCGACAAAGACCTGTAGCAACCACATCTTCGAGTTGACCTTACTGAGCTGACGTGTCAATGCGGATTAATGGTGTTGAGCCCTTCGGTGTTCGTCGACCTCGTGTTGACAACCACGGAGTATGTTTCCATCCCCGTGGAAGCCCCCTTCCCACCAAGCGCAACATTCGCGTTCGGATAACACCCCTACTCTCACAAACAACGCATGCGGTTCCACGATGTCCTTCCTCCGTCTCTGTATCCCGTCTGCTCAAATCAGCCGACTCTGTCGGCGTGTGGAAGAGGCTCTTCCGTTTGACTCGTCTTCGTCGACGTCGTCGTTGTCGTCGCCGTAGCCGCTCCCTCTCTTTCCCTGGGCCCGTCGCCGCCCTCCCCTTTTCCTGGGCCCTCCTCCTCAAGCGCGCCAGCCAAAACTAAATTGAGCAACGTCGTGAATGAGTGAGAAAAGAATCCCCTTCCCTTTGATCCCTTCCCGGCCAGGGGGCGGGGTCCCAAGGGGGTCCCGGGGGGGTCGCGAGTCGTGGGGGGGTCCCGGGTCAGAACACCACCCCTCTGGGGAGGGCCCAGAGCCCAAAAAGTCCCAAGACGAGCCAAGAGTGCCCCAAGAGGCCCCCAAGACGGTCCAAGAGGACCCCGAATCGCCGAACGATCGGTCCAAGACGTCTTTACGGCCTCCAGACGGACCAAGAGGGCTGGAATACGTCCCAAGAGGCCTCGAAGGGCACTCCCAAGAGAGCCCCAGGAGGCAATATTCATTGATTTCCCTAAGAAATTTTAAGGATTTGGGCGTTCTCGCCTTTTCAGCTTCCCGACGCTCCGAAACGGCCCAAGAGGCTCCAACGATCGGGCCAAGGAGGGCCTGAAGACGTCCCAAGACGCCTGCAAGACGGCCCAATAGGCCCCCAATAGGCCCCCAAGAGGGCCCCAAGAGGGCTCCAAGAGGATGCCAAACAGGGGAACCAAACGGATATTTCGAGCCCTCGGCCCCGAGAGGCTCCCAGGAGGCCCCAAGAGGCCACCAAGAGGCTCCAAGAGGCCCCCAAGAGGCCCCCACGAAACCCCATGAAGCTCCCAAGAGGCTCACAAGAGGCCTCCAAGGTGCTCCCAAGGGGGCCCCAAAACTTACCCCCAGAGGCCTCCGGGAGCGCTCCGAACAGACCCCAACGATAATCACTGAGGACTCGGAACCACGTCATCGTCGTCGTCGTCGGCGTCGTCGTCGTTGTCGTCCCTCTTCAGGGTCGGCGGCACCGGCCGTAAGGCCTTCGCAATAAACGCATTGATCAAGACGAGCTCTGCTTAGATTAAATGCTGCGAGCTTTCCTTCCCAGTTCGATCAAATCCAGCCCCAAGCAAGTAGACAACAACGCACTCGAGCATAACAGTTAGAAACCAACAAAGGAACTCAGGCCTTCGGAATACTGATCAGACGAGGGGAGCGAAACCCAGAGTTTGGCCTTCCCTAGAAAACGCAGGCATGAGCGACGTCTGTGACGCAGACAAGGGAAAGCCTATCATTTCTTCCGGGCGACTTCTTCCGAAACGATTTCTTCCGAGGCGATTTCTTCCGGACGGCTTCTTCTGGAGCTCTTCCGGCCGACTTCTTCCGAAGATGACTTCTTCCGAAGCGATTTCCTCTGGGCGACTTCTTCCGGAAGAATTCTTCCGGACGGCTTGTTCCGCTGACTTCTTCCGATGAAAACTTGTTCCAGGGTGACGTCTTCCAGGCGAACTATTCCGGAATAGTTCTTCTGGCCGATTTCTTCCAACGGTGACTTTTTCAAGGGCGCCTTCTTCCGGGACCCCTCATTCCATGACGACCTACTCCGAGGATGAATTCTGCCGGTGCGACCTCTTCCGGGCAACCTCTTCCACTTGATTTTTTCCAGGGCAACTGCTCCACTCCACGACCCGCCACGTGGCAGCGCCTGCGAGGCGCAACGCAGATTCCCTAGTTCGTTCGCCACGTGTCAACGCCGGGGAGGGGCGAAACAAATACTGATCAACTCCCCCTGCCACGGAGCAGCGCTCGGTGGACGGAACACATATTACTCCACTGTGCTCGCCACTTGGCAATGCTTGCGGGGAGGAACATAATTACTCCGCTCTACTAGGCACGCGGCGACGAATCGAGCCGGCAACAAATGGTACCCCTTTCTGCTCGCCGCATAGCGACGCCACGTGGAAAAGCGTGAGAGGCAAACCAAAAATACGACCCCTCTCCATTCGCCACGCGGCAACGACATGGGGAGCGAACGAGAAGTACAACAACACTCAATTCATCACGTGGCAATGCCGCGCGGGCCGAACATATACAATCCCTTTCTGCTCGCCACGTGGCAGCATTTTGCGGGGCGACATTAAACATTCCATTATATTCACCACGTGGCAACATCGCGAGGCGGGAACACATAGAGCGCCACTCCGTTCGCAACGGGCAACGAGGGGCTGGCGAGCAAAACGCAATGCAACTTTGCGCGCAATGTTGCCACACCCCACAATTATGTTGCATTCGACGTGGCAACTCCGCGGAGGCGAACGCAAAAATCTATTCGGCGCGTGGTTTCAACGAGGGCGACGGCGACGACGACGACGAAAACGATGACGACGGGCGATGACGACGACGACGACGACCACGAAAGTGACAACGACAGTGACAATGACGACGATGACGACGATGACGATGCTGATTATGAGTAGGGGGAAGAAGGAGAGAGAGACAGTAGTGCGCCTGAGTGACGGCCCGAAGGCCTTCTGGGGAGGACGATCTCCTTAACGCCGCCTATCCAACATTACGCTGCATCTTCGGGAAGATTCTGCCTGTCCCCACGCGTTGCGATCCGCGTCGGGCCCATGACGACGCGGTCGAACCCGTGCCGAATCCACGTCGAGTCCGCGTCAAATCCACATCGAATCCACGCCCGAGAATCTAGAATTGGGACCCCAAGTGAAAGCACGCTGCATGACAGGCAGAACCCCCCGAACGTGCAACGCAATCGAATCAAACCCTATAACTACAGAAGAGACACAAGTCGGCGGCGATCGAAGGGCGGAAATGAAGAGGCGAAGGCCTTCTCCGAAGGCGGCGGAGCGTCTCAAAAGCGGTGCTACCTTCTGAGAAGTTGTCCGTGTTTTGAGGAGGCGTTTAGAAACTTACTCAAAAAGGCTAGGAAGCTTCCGAACCTTCTGAGAAGGCCCACCTCACTCCCCCCCCTCCTTAGCCGCCGAATCCAAAGGAGGCACAGAAGGGTACCGAAACCGCCTCCCCACGGATCTCTCGCAGGGTGGTTCCGACCAACAGATCTCGGGGCAACTCCAGCCGTAGCTGCGCGGGGCAGGCCCACTCCGATTTCATCCCCCAACCTCCATTCTAGAGAAGACACAGAAGATGCGGAAAACCCCGCCCCACAAACGACATGTCGCAGGGCGCCACCTGACCAGCAATCTCGGGGCAACGTCAGCCGTGGCTGCGAGGAGCAGGCAGAGGATTTGGCACCCGTTCCTCCTCTGGCCTCCTCCTTTTCCTCCTCCTCCTCCACACCGTTAACAGCAGCAGAACAGCACTCGACAAAGATAACTCTCATTAGGCACAGGAAAATCATCCTCCTCCTCCTCGTCCTCCTCTTACTCCAGAATCGACACCCAAAACCTCGACATAATGGGCGTTGACTGGACCCCTTTCCGAAGGCAAGGGCAATCATTTCATCCCGATCCGCTTGTGAACGGTCCCGGAGGCCAGGGCAGACTCCGAAGAATCTGAAAAGGAAAGATCTTCCGCACACATTCAAACCACTTCTGCTGGGCGACTTCTTCGGGGAAGATGTATTCCGGCAACTTCTTCCAGGCAACTTCCTCCGCAAGCTAATTCTTCCGACTGGACTTTTTCCGGGCGATTTCTTCAAGCGGAATTGTTACACGCGACTTCTTCCGGAAAAAATAAATTCCGGGCGATTTCTTCCGCAGGATTTCTTCCGGATGATTGTTTTTCTGGAAGAAGTCGTCTCGGAAAAAAAGTCGTTTTGGAAGATGTCGCCGTCTTCTGGCAGCCTCTAAACGCGACGGGGGGGCGGGGGCAAGCTGAGGCAGCAAGGGGGGGAGGGGGAGAAGACGAGGAGGTTGAGTAGGAGGAGGAGGAGGAGGAGGAGGAGGAGGAGGTGAACGACAGACGAGGACTACCGAAGGACGGACGAGGAGGGATAAGGATCAGGAGGGGAGAGGCGAGAATAGGAGTAGATGAGGTCGGAGGGACGTGGTCTAGGACTCGGCCTAAGATCATTCGAATACGCCCGCACGACGCGAAGAAAAGAGAAGGCGCAAAAGAGGAGGAGGGACGAGAAGCAAATAGTGAGGACTGGCGATCCCCAAACGACCCCAGGTGGCCACATTGGGATAAAGATGACCTGGCACACATACACACACACACACACTTTGTTGGTGTCGCAGCCCTGCATGCAGCGACAGGGCGGAGAAGGTCTGAAGCAGCGATGGCGCGCGCGCGTCTCGTGCGGCCGAGCCCTCCCCAAGGCCACATGGGAGCAAGCCATCCAGGCGTGTATGATGAGGTGGGGCACGCACACACACAAACTGTTGTATGCGTCGACAGCTACTCAGAGCAACTGCGCTGGCGGAAGAGCTAACTAAACGGGGGCACCTTTGTCGCGAATTGAGCCACTATACAACACAGTTGAAAAAGAAGGGGAGAGCGGCCGAAGGAGGGGGCAGAGGAACGAGGGCCGCTCAGGGGGACGCCCGCCCCCTCCCCCCGCGCACACACACACAGACACACAGACACACAGACACACAGACACACAGACACACAGGCGCACAGACACACACACACACAGACACACACACACACACACACACACACACACGCACGCAC